ACTGTTGCACCTAAATACCTAAAATGACTTGTGTGAAAATAAATTTCCTGATGATGCAAAATTACACATGGAGGCAAAACAAAAACTGACTCTGAGCAGCCGTAGAAAGATCTGTCAATAGTGAGCAATAGGGCAATGAAATGGTGGCTGAAAGTCTATGTCAATAACTGTAAACTAATGTAAACAGTAATGAAAATAACCCTAACTAAGCTTACATAATAATGGGCTATAAATTAGCCTTTATTACTTGAAGTCATTGTGAGTAGTTTTCTGCCAACGTTGTTTTGCTACTCAGTAGTAGTCCAAAAGGCAAACAGAATTAGAAATTGCTTCAAAAGGAGCAGAAAACAAAGTAGGAAAGCTCATTATCATTTCCTCATGGAAATGTCTTTGCACTTGCATGCTGTGTACAGATCCAGTTCCTTCATATGATAATGTGAAACTAGAAAATACATGTGTGCAGCTGAAAAAATATATGCAGAGGTACGGGAGTGCTTATATGTGAGGAGATAATTTCTAGCTGAAGAGCAAACTGAGAAAGGATTGTCGTTGGATCTATAAAACCCCAGTGATACATAGGAGGCTGACAGTAAGCAATCACGTGCTGGTTTTTATCACACACCACCTTGGGAAAACTGAGTAAATGATCAGGCAGAGGGAAAAACTTTTTCATACAGAGTGTTATTAAATCAGATGCCTTGCTTCCATACTAAACTGTGAAGCTGAAGGGACAGAGGTTTTTAAGCTGGAGTTATACAAATGATTGAAGGACAGCTGTAGGCACAACAATTTCCTTTGCAGTTCCTGCTGAAAAGGTGCCTATCCACTGCCTGTTAACAGTTGCCCAAAAAAGGATACTCTATCTGCCATTTTCCCTGACATCAGTTTCCCAGCACCATAGAGAACAGGACATCAGGTTAAATGAACCTTTACGCAGTCCTGTACAGCCATCCAAATGGTTTATTCTTTTCTTTCTGTACAGTTAGGTGTAAGAAACCAGAGAAAAGCAGCATCCCTACATATGAAAGCATACTCCTGCTTTTCCCCATCTTCCCTGGAAAGCAGTCACTTTGTTCTTGATCTTTCCATTTGGGTGTTTTTCCATTCCCCTGAAGAGAATTTGGGAAAACTGCTTTTACCTTTTCAACATTTTGCTCTTCAGTTTCTGTAGTGATAGTCCATATGCACTGATTTCATTTCAGTGCCATTTTCTACTAGCCTTCGTACAAGGTTGGGGCAGTATATAGCAAGAGAAGCATAATAACATAATATATGCATTGAATATGTCAAAAATACTTTCCATATTCATAGATGATCACAAAAAATAAAATCTAAACTATTCTTGGACATCCCCAAAGGAAAAAGGAAAATTAGGTCTTCTCACTGAAGAAACTGCAAAGGTAAATAGAAATACCCAGAGATGATTTAATGAAGTTACAGGTAATCCCTTACATAGGTAATAATAATTTACAAGAGTTCTATTTAGACTATCCCTATTAAATAAAAAAAAAACGGAAACCTGAAAAGCAAACCTGAAATGCAGTTTGTCAGAACTCCAAGAATCTCTGAAAGGCAAACATGATAAATCAGCTGGAGTGGTTCAATCTCACAGTAACAAACTCTATATGGCTGATAGTATAGCTAACTATATCCACTCACCGAACAGAGAAAAAAATCTCTGGTTGGAAGTGTTGTAACTACAATCCTTATAACCCTGCTGGCTATTACCAGCCCTCTACTAGACTCAGTTCATTCAAGCTTCAGTATTTAAAGGACTTTTTCTTAGGAACTCCACTAGAATAGCTTTAAAAGAGTCACAGTGGTACAGTTTCCTCTGCACACTCTGAGAACTACCTAAATAATTTATTTTTCCAAAGCAACAGAGATTACCCAGCTTCAAAGAGTTTGAGAGGGTCTCCAGGATAAATTCCAAGAATGCTGTTATGAGCATTATGAATGCATTGAGGCTATTTTTGTATCCTTGGTCTTTAAACAGGCAAAGGGTAAAACTGACTGTGATACCTGTTTATGGATAATCCATAACCATGTCTAAACTTCTGGCCATAATTTTAAGTAGCTTAGTTGGTATGTTACCACATAGAAGAAAGAAATTTTAATGTCCCCCAGCATTATTATAAGAAGTAAATTCAGAATAGAAGTGAATTTTGTGGACTTGATTAAAATGTAAAAATATCAGTGGGTCAAAACATGCACTGCATGTATTCCCATGTCATTGCCTTTCATTTTGTTTTGCTGATAAACATAACTTCATTCCTGCTATCCTTAGCTATAACAGACATATTAGAAAGGGGATTTAGTGTGCCCAGCATGAGGATAGTCAGCATTCCACTACTTAAAATAACTTTCAGCCATCTTGCAATTTTATTTGTGAAGGTGCTTATAATTTCAAGCTTAGAAAATATTTCCAGCATATATTTGCATTTCCAATAGTTTTTATGTCCACATACCCTGTTAACATTGCCCTGTATCTTTTAAAATGGCATTTGAAAAATTTACTCACTAGCACTTTCCAAAGACAGAACTTGGTCAGAAGAGCTGGAAGAATTCCCAGGAAACTTCTGTACTCCCAAGCTCAGGATGTATAAACACTTTCTCTAAATATAGAGTAGGGTCTGATCAGAAGTTAACTCTTCAGTCTTAATAAAGTCTTGCAGATATTGGTATCAGATACTGTGTATTAGATATTGCATGTTAACATTGGATTTGGATATCCCACACTTTGTGCTGAAAGAAGCTCCACCTTCCCAAGGTCTGCGGAAGTTCAATAAAAATTCCTAATAAAAGAATCAAGGTATGGGAGCAGGCAGATGTACACCATTAAAGTAGATTAAATCAAAGTCTTGTATCAGTATTTAATTTATCATTAATTCATTTTACTTTGGAGAAAATTTACCACTATAACAGCTGTTCCAGTCTGACATTCTGTGGAAAATTTGACCAAAATCTTTGATGAAGTTTTAAATGAATGTTTAACAATTACAATTTAAGTTCAGGAAAGTGGTATGGTGAGAATATATGTTTTCCTGAATTGAAGCTGTGCACATAATCACATGCTGTATTCACCTTCAACAGCTTCCCCTTCCTATCTGATTATTCTTCTGTCTCTCACCTACTGCCACAGTAACTGAAAGAGTGGAGGTGCCTGGTATTGCAGCAGTTAGATAATCTCTTTGTAGACATCATAGAAAAAACATGACAGCGTGCCTTGGGTCAGAAAAAGGGCTCTGCTTCCATGTGAGCTTCTCTATTAGAGGTCTGTGCCCCCAAAGAAAGGTCTCAAGAGCCCCAGGATGAGGGGAACTCTGACTCACAAATCTCATTCAGGATGCACAGCCCTCTTGAGAATGGCCTTTTCTCACTCCATGATCAAAAGTACCTTCATGTAGATATTCAGGCAACATAAATCAGTAACTTCCTGCAGTTACACAAACAAGGTTCCTCTGCTGACCAAGCGGTTATGACTCAGTAAATAGATAAAATTATTTCTACTGGACATAATTTAGTGTGATTTGTGAAATCTGTATTATTTTCAAAGGTACAAAAGTCTTGTTCAACACCAACAGAAACTACTGCTGATGAACACAGTTGGAATCTAAGTCACTTATAGGTAAGCACGTTAAATTCTACTTGCCAGCATTAAAGCACTGATACTGCAAAACAGCACACCAAAAACCTCAGACACAGTTTTGGTCAATTCACTCACCAGCATTAAAGGGAATTATGAGTGACACAGGTTTTTTTCCAGTACAGGAACATAATGATCATTCTCACAGCAGACCAAGTTTTAACTTACCAACTAAATTGGGGATCTTGGCACAGGAGACTCATCAAGAGGCCAATTCTACCATACAAATGAGAAGCTGGGTTTTTTTCACCTGCCTATACAGGGATTCTCAGCATTTCAGCTGGTACTGTGCAGATCCACCACACCATACAGGTTCTGCAGCATGTGTCAGGCCCTCTGTACAAGTATGGTGTCCCTCCATGTTCACAGGACAGGACTGATAGGATGGGAAAAAAATAAAACAGCCAAAACCAACCAAATAAACAGAAAACACAACACACCAACCCAAACTGGAACTTTCTCAGGGGAACACAAGAGAAATGGCAACATTCCTTACAACCAAACTTTTGGGCTAGAGTCCGAGCCAGGATCCAATTCTCTACGCTTAACCATAAATCTGTTTTTTCACTAATTTCTAACAGCTACACCAAATTAAGCAGAAATTTTACAGCCTGGTTAACCATGCAGTCCTTATTCAATTCTGTTTCTTGTGCTGAATGAAACAACTGCACCTGGGGAAAAGAGATGCTAGTGAGTCATCAAGGACTGCTTTTTAACAGGTACTACTGGAATGGAGGGAAGGACAAGGTTTCTCAGGCAACTTTTACTCTGCAACTTGCTCCCATTTGAACTCTAATATTCTTTTTTAAAAAATGGGTTTTTCAAGATACATGGTTTGTTACTTTGAATTTAAAATTCTGAACCAGTTGATGAAGGAACTGTATGGAAGATGCTGGGAAGCAGGAAGCACCCAAGGGCATGCTTCTCCTCTAGAGTGCATACAACTAGAATTCCTCAATTTTATCTGTGTATCATATTTTAATAACCAGGATATTTCCAATTCAACAAATAATATACAGGAATAGTAATGGCAGTTGAAAATTATCTGTGAACATACTTATTCGAACTATCTTCATTTAATCTTCATCAGCACCAAAACTGTCTTCATCCTGCTGAAAACTTGACTTGTCCAACTCTTACTTGAACATATGCATTAAAAGCTTCTGGAAAAAAAAAACCCCAAACTAAACATCCCAACCCCTCAAAAGTAACAAAAATAAACCCACAACCCTAGACTCCACAGTTATAGCCAATAGACCTCAAGATAAGAAAGCATAAGGTTTTGGTAGTCTAACAGACAAATGTTCCTTTCACTAAACAGCATAATGAATAATTCTGGCCCAAAGCAACAAAGTATTTAATAATGTACTTTTAATTATTTTGTTGACTACAGCTATTTTCTTATATCTAGATTAATACTGACGTGTCCGCTAGCATTGTTAGAGTTACTTCATTTTCTTTGAATTTACTGCTGTACTTCACTGTTCAATGCAATTTGGATCATGAGAGATGTCTTCTATTTTAACAGAATCTGAATCATTATCAATTAACCAGTCAAGTCAGAAAATGCTGGCTTCTTTATTTCCTCCATCATTGTAATTTCCATCTTATAGGAAGGATTCAGGTAAAAACAAGAGCTATTTCTGTAATACAAGGTTATGTACTATTACAAGAACAACCACCAGTTTACAGTTTTCAATGCCTATATAATTTTCAAAAGTGCACGTCTGCATATTCAGAAAGAAAAAGGATCATGGATTAACTAAGTAACAATTAAGAAAAAAAAAAAGTTGTCACTGAAAAAAGCTGTCACTGTCCACAGGAAGCATGTCTAGTCACGTTTTCAGTCAGTCAGTCAGCTAGCTGAGGATCATGTCATTACTTAGTTTCTGTAGAAAAAACACAAGTACAAAAATAGTATCAAAAAGCAACATACCTATTTTTATTTTAAAGTACGTATTATAAAATGTAATCATTACATCAGCATATAAATAAGGCTTTCAATATCTTTAGAAGGATGATATTTAAGTTTTAGGCATGCTTCTCTAACTTTTATAGAAGCGCCTCTTTCTGGCATTTTTTCTCCATTTGATACAAAATACAGCTATTTTTTTCAATGTATACCACAACTATGATACAATTAATTTTTAAAAACATTTATGCAGAGCAATATATCATTAAAATATATACATATTAACATCAGGATTTTAATAAAGGTTTAAGTCCAAAAAATGAACGCAAATTAAATTGGTGATGAAGGACTTCTTCCGGACAAGAATAACCAAAGACAGCAATAACCAAGTACTTTATGACAGAATAAATGGGTTTTTCAATTTAGTCAGTAACTAAATAATTGTTTAAAACACTCAAGTTTTATCAGCATGGGAAAAATGCAATTAACACATCTGCTGTGGGTTGAAGTCAATCAGCAATGAGTATTAAAAGCCACAGAACTTAGTTCCACATAGCTGTGTCTGGCATCTCTAACACAACACTGGTTAGACACTCTGCTTTCTAAGGACTATTTGAAAGCTTTATGAATGACATTTTGGGTGGGTTTGGGTTTGTTTGCTTCTGGGTCTCTTGTTTAGTAGTTTGGGGGGGGAGGGTTTCCAGGGGTGGGGGTGGTATTTAAATAGAACTACTAGGCAACAAGGAAGAGATTAATTGGAATGCCACAATGCATTCTTCTGACAGATAGCAAATGCTTTCCTTCCTCTTCTATTTTTGAATGACACAATGTGTATGATTGCCATCAGACACTGCAGCGAGCTTTTCACAAAATACTCAAAGCAACACAAAGCCTGGAGTGAAGAGCACAAGCTGGTCAACAGCAAGATTTTTAAGGTAAGTCTGCTTCTAACAACTGCCTAGAAGTAGACCTTGTAGATATATTCTCAAGCCTACACTGATTTAAAGCAAGATAGCTTGAAATTATTATTTCAGCCATTAATACTTACTTAGCATAAAAGGGGATAACTTCAAATACCAAAAAATTTATATAAGCACTTAAAGTGGTGAAGAGAACCCTACTGGTCTGTATTTCCATCTTTTCTCTGCTACTTTTAACTATTCACATAAACAATTGAATTTTCATTGACTTGTAAGAGAATCAGAGCCTGTAGAAGTCATTAGCTGGATTAGTTCAGAATATTAAGAGATGTGTATTCAAATTTGGCTGATAAACAAAGTTTCTTGCAAGGTAACAAAAAGTTAGTCAGAAATTTGCATTGCAAAAGCATTATGAGTAGCATACTGTTACCATACAGCCTTTTTTAAGAAACAATTTTGTAAATTGTATTTTAAACAAGACTATTTACATAAGAAGGTGCTGGGGCAGAACTTCAAATGTGTTAAAAAAATAAATATTTTACTTAATTATTCCATTGAATGGCATTTGTTTTCATATATATTCTAGAATTCACAGGTCTTATAATGAATTTTCATCAGAAAACCTTGTATAGAAAAGACTATTTCAGAAATCCAGTCACCTTGTTAGAGACAAAAGGCAAGCAGTATAACAGGACTTCAGAAAGGATTTTTTTTATTAAGAGGCAATGATTTCCTTAAGTGAAAATTCCCATTAGTTTTAGCTAGGAAGGTTACTTCCTACAGCTAAATTTCAAAATGAAAAAAGTTAGTATTCTCACATCTTAAAAAAACCCCACAACTATTTCAGAGGTAGAGAGAATGGCATCTCTTTCCACATGCACAATTTAACACTTTAATTGAAAGCAAAATATGAGCCTCCAAATTACTGCAAAGCTTGTCAGTCAGTCCAGCACAAAGTCAGGCAGTGAGAAAATCACTTACACAGGCAAGCCCTTTTGAAAGGCAATCTTTCCTTTTAGGTATCACTACATTTGAATTTGAGAAACCAACTCAAGGACAAATGAACATGTAATTCTGTCTATCTTGAAAAGAGGTAGGTGCCAAGACAACCTGCTAAGAAGCTTGGAACCAGGAACCTGGTGTACAGAAAAAGTGGGGATAAATAATTTTTCTTATTTTGGATGTATGTTGTATTTACACTTCTCCAGTAAAAAGTACACAAGGTACACCTGGTATTGTATTACCCTTCACATCATAATTATTCCTGTAGAGGCATAATTCAACTTAGTTTTAGCTATAATTCCATGCAGAAAAAGAATGCCTAGAAATCCAATTTATTAAAACAAAACTTGTGTATAAAAACTAAGGCCACATTTAGTATCTGCTGCTTATCAAAAGAGAAACATGGAGGTCCTTAGAAGGAAAGGAGAAAAAAAAACATTTTGGGCAAAAGGTTTTTTTGGTCTTTGCAACTCTGGGGTCACAAAGAACATCTATACAAAGAAAGGTACAAAGAGTGAAGCTTAGAGGGAAAATACTGATGCAAAGACAGACATGTGATAATTTCTGAATTGGTTAAATCAAAACTTCATGTCCCCTAAGAAGATAGTACAGTACTGGAAATATCTGGAAGCTATAGTAATCTATGAGAATTACTTTGTAGAATATAGGGCTTAGGCTTTTCTCCCCCAGCTATATTCTCCTTTGGCAATAATACTAATGCTGAAAAAAATAATTTTAAAATATGATGAAATTCAATATAATTTGAAGCAAAGCAATGTTTTAAAAGAAAAAATGAATTTTGGTCCCTGAAGTCAGTAAGATACAAAACATCTCTAGTTTAGCCAGCTTTCACAGGCCATAAGCATCAAATAATAAAGTTCTCAACCTAGTTATCTCAAACACATCTCTCAATTCCTCCACCACAGGCTCTGCTACATTTTCTCTGCTAACACGTATTTCAGCTACACCTGATTTCTGAGATCACAAATGACCCAAATATCCCAAACCTTTGGTTTCCCCTAATATTCTTACCTGTCCTCCCACATCCATTTTTATTTACCCCTTCACTCCTCTGCCCTTCAAGGGCTCAACTTTTCATCTTTAACCAATGCCACTGAGGGCACGTGATTGTAATGAAAAAAAGACACACACAAGCTTATGTCTGTTTCATTGTTTATTTCTGCATATTCTTTTCAAAGTCAACTGATTCTCCCAAGTACAAAAGTGATATTTCTATGAACATCCAGATTGACTTTTATCAACTGGTTAATTTTTTTTCAAGAATTATAAAACTTAATTTCTATAAAGTGCAAGTGTGTATATATCAACATACACACACCCATATATATATTTATATGTATAGGTATGTGTATATACACACAGATATATCAAACAATCTACTTCAATTTGCTAGCTAAGAATAGATTTAATCATTGGATGTTTGTATCTAACTTCAAAATCTTTGCCTGTCCCCATTTCAGGTAGCTGGACACTTTCAGGGTTAAGATTTCAGGCTGGGCGGGGTACTCACCTGCTCAGTAAGTTCTCTGGCGCTTGTTGGGCTCCTCTGAGGGCGAGTCTGCCAACCTCACCTTCAGCCTCACACCATTCACAATCTTGCCATGTAATGCAGTTATGGCCTCGCTGGCACTTGCTCTGTCTGCAAATTTGGCATAGCCCACATTTTTTCCAGCCACAAGATAAACACTTATCAATTGTCCAAAACGACTGGTGGGGAGGGGGAAAAGAAAAGGTAATTTACAGATTTTCCTGCAACACTTCCAATCTGAAACACATATGATTTGTTAATTGCAAAACCAGAATTTTTATGTCTATGCTCCCAATTTGCATATTCCCTTCTCTGAATTATAGGTAGAAGCACAAATGAACACCAGAAGTTCACAGATGTTTTCTATGAAATATTATGATATATATCACAAATACCAGTGATTTCTCTCTTATTTAAAAGAACACATAAAGCTGATTGATACTGCAGTCCCCAAACACTAAATGGCACTCAAAACACCCCACAGAAACTAGAGAAGAAAAAACCCCAAATCAACCAAAAGTAAGACATACACACCCAAGCCAGCAGATAATTTAGAAGCTAAATCTGCATCTCACTTTAATCACAACTGAGCAAGTTCATTTATCTTTGAAAAGGTCTGACTGAAGTGACTCAGAAAGCAAGCACTACAGCTTCAGGGAAAAACAGAGATTTACAAGTACTCAGGAGATTCCTAGACAGATCCCTAATTATTTTTAAGAAATAGTCTGCTTGCTTCTTATTGAAGTTATACTGAAGTGTCAAGACTCATGTCCATAGTCTTTCCCTCTTCCAGTATTTGATTAAGAAAATCCACTGTATCAAATAGGTACAACTTTGAATTTCACACAAAGTTTCACACAAAGTGTTTTCCTCTCCTGGTGCTTTTAAAATATTTCGGCTTTCCAAAGATTTATTGCAAATTCAAGCTATTAGAAAAGGTAAATGTCTCTTTTTTTTCAAGAGTATACTAAAAAATCAATAATACAAAATACTTTATATGATTGCCAATTATAGATTTCTTTAAAGATGGCAAAATTTGTCTCAATTCTTTGTTCCATACAGGGAGATAGAAAGAACAGTTGAAATAGTGTTAGTAGGATGCAAATCATTACTATAAATATCAGATCCAAGTATCAGAAAAAAAACAACACCCTACACTTGTTCCCCCTAGGTTACTGTGGAAATTTATCAAAATAATTAAATGCCTTACAAAAATATATAAAAGAAAATGCAAAATGAATTAGGAAATAATAACTGGAAGTACTACATTTTTTGGTTAAAAATCTACATTAGAAGACTAGACATTTTACTTCAGATTAAGTTAATTGATAGTTTTCAGACACTCTTTTTTCACTTTCATTGTTTACTTTCAACATTTCATAGTTTGTTTCCTTTTTGTTAGGGAACACTTATTTGTAAACAGAGTCTTACCAGAAAACATCCTCCAATACATTTACAGGTAAAGGATGGGGATGAAAAAGTATGAAAAGCCTTTCCTTCACAGAAGTGTCAGGTGGAACTTTTTTTTTGGGTGGTGGAAGTATGGCATCTGTTTGGGGCTGCAGCAGCTGTGGCCCCGAAGTTCCTCCAAATGCTTGCTGAAACAAGGGGAAAAAAATGCAAGTATAAGTTAACTGGTGGTGGGGGGCAGAGGAAGTAATTTTACCTTTCTTACCATTTTTCTTCCATCACAGGACATAAATAGGTCCTGTGAGTTCTGATCTTCATTACTTTATTTACTTCAGTTATTTCATTAAATTGGACAATAAATTCAAGTGACGTCAGACGCCTTTTCAGGGAAGAAAAATGCACCAACCAACCCGAGGTATGTCTTAAAAATGGAGCACGTAGAACAGTTTGCAGAAGCAAGTGAGCAGTGTTCTTTATTGGTACATGTGAAGTTTCTTACAACAATTCAGAACCGACACCATCCATGATTTGAACTTACAGGAGGCGACCTGTACTGCTGAACCATTGCGCTGTTACTGCGCAACACTGACGACACCTGGGCTGTCACCAGCTGTGCTGCCATTTTCCTGATAAGGCTGCAAGCAGAAGTCATAATAAACTACTTTAAAGAATTAGATTATTAGATTAATTAAGATTACATTAATCTTAAATTTAGATTCAGATCAACTAAGCACTTTTGTAGTGAATCTCCCCACTGTCCCTCCTTACTGTCTTCATTTCCCAGAACAGGTTTGACATAAACCAGACTCCTTTAGGATGAAACTAAGGCAAAACACTCACTGCAGGAGAGTACTTAAGCTGCTCCAACTTGTACTGGGCGTTCAAAACACAGGAAGAAGTCAGAGATGGTCAAACACCTGAGAACACTCCATCCTGTGCCAATATCAGCTCCTCAGCACCCACAAGTTTTACTCTACATATGTGCTTCACTAAACTACTACTTGTACTACTGCAAACACAACCAAGAGATGAAGTACATAAACCTGGTTCTAATTCATAAACCTCATCAAAAATACATTCCTTGTTACATGTTACAGATATGTTGACAGATTCTTCTCAAATCCAAGATTTTTCCATGGTATCTTAAAAACATGTATTTTAATCTTTTCTTTATCAAAGACTACCAAGTTTCAAAAGGCTTATTGTAAACCATTCAGAAAGAAAACCCCAAAGCAGTTTAAGAAAACACTACAGCCAAGCTCACAGTTATACTGACGTTACGTCTTATGTTAAAAATGTGTTTCCTTTATATTTTGCTCTCCAGAACACAACTTACAACTTTGTACTTACTCTGAGCTATCATTCCCATCTTCTAGGAAAATGACAGTTAGTCGATTTCCAGGAGGATACTCAAACCCATGCAGTTTGTATTTGGCATATATAGCTGAGGCAGCAGTGCTGTACTGAATCACAGCGTACCCTGCAAGCACAGCGCACACAGTGTCAGCAGGAAACAGGTAAATCTTCAGAACAAACTACACTCATATAAATAACATATTTACACTCCACATCAGTCATGGATGACACAAAATTCTTAAGTCTTTTTAGCACACATCAAGCTTCAGTGAAATTTACTAGTGCCATATGAGCTGTATTTATACTAGCTTGAAAAGCTGGCAGTAAAACCATGCAAGTGAAAACATGTCTTCCTCACTACTCCAGAACTAATAACAAAAGCATAATAATTTTATTTTAAAAAATGCAATTATCCCATCAACAGCTAATTTCAGGAACTGTGAAGTTAAAAGATAATCATTTACATTTCAAGTTTCTTAGAGAAGAGACCACTCCCATATTTGTCTCAGCAGCAGTAAAACAAGACTGAAACCAAATAATCTTTCAATAGAAAACATGATCTATTTTGGAGTTATTTAATCTTATTCATCAACATCTACACACATTTCAGAATGAAAAATTCAAAAGATCTGTTTAGAGAACATTTAATGTCTAATAATTTCTGAAACAACTTCTTCATTTATTCTGCCTCAAACCATTAATTTGACCAAAACCCACTTATCATGACTTTGATTCCATCTTTTTTGAGTTTTTATTATCTGAAAGTAAACATATAAGCCATTAAGGGCAATGTGTAAACAGGGGTTCAAACAAAACTGAATTTTTGTGTGTATGCAGTGCTAGCAGCAACCACTGCTTGTTTCTAGCAAGTGTACGGTATTTTTCAGTGCAAATTAACTGAAGTACAAATACAAGAGATTCCCTTCAGAGAAAAAAAACAAAAACCTTTTGTACTTTTACTTACCACTATTGGTATGAGGGTCTCTCTGAACATCACAATATTCCAGACCTGGAACTAAATCAAAGAGGGCAAACAGCTGTTCTTGAATAAAGGGGAGCCGGGATACCACTGACAGGCGTTTGGAGACTGGTTCTTGAATTCGGGTCTCAGCTTTTTCAAAGCTACAAAATTCTGGCTGCATACCTCAAGAATCAACAAAATAATTTGAGTCATCATACTTGTATGCCTTCATTTCATGCATATGTTGCATTCGACTTTTAAAATGAATCCAAGTCAATTATATACTACTAAATATTGATTTCACCAGTGCAGGTCCCAAAATAATTGAAACCAGAGCAAAGCAAGCCATAGAAGTAGAGAGACGAAACGCTGGGCTAGTTTCTAACTTCAATATCCAATCTACTATTTAAGTGTTGACCTAAGCCTCCATCAGCCTCCCTTTCTCCAATCACATTATTACTCAGTGACCAGCCTGGAGACTACAAATCATTTTTAATGTAAAAAGCTGTGACTTACAAAACGGAAGCGTATTTCCTCTTAGTTCAGGCCTCATGCTATTACTGTAATAATCATGTTCAAAAGACTCAGATGACTTATTTTTAGGTTCAGCCAAAATGGCCCTGTAGCCTGAAAGAAACAACCACACACATAACAACACCTCAGCACATCTCAGTTATCTGACCAGGCCCACATTCTCAGAGTTCCATACTTAGAAACATATTATTCAGAAAACCCAGTAAGTGCTGGCTTTAGAGAAATAACTAAATTATAACTCTTGAAGTCTGCCCAAATAATTTTGTGAATGTTAACAGCTTTCAAATGGAATTACTCCTACTCGCAAGTTAAGCATGACAGAAGCTAACTGCCATGAGAGTGACTGAGCACTGGCACAGGTTGCCCAGAAAGTCTACGGAGTCTCCATGCATGAGGATATTCAAAAAGTCACCTGGACATGCTCCTGGGCCATCAGTACCCAGGGTGACCCTGCCTGAGCCAAATGGTTGAGCAAGACGTTCTGCAGAGGTTCCTTCCAACTTCAACCACTCTGTGATACTTAGCAAGATTCTGAGATGCTCCAGAAGCCATCACCTGAACTACTGCGCTAAAACAGTAATTTATGGATGTTTTACACTGATCTAGGTTTTACTTTCATGAAAGAAAGCTATTACACTCAAGCTATCCAACTGATTTCATTTTAACCTCACAGCAAAAAGGAAATAAAATTTGACTGCTAAGTAATCTCAGGCTCATGTTCCTATGCACAAATATAATTCCTATAGAACCCCTTATGATAGAAATAACGCAGAACCACATTACTGAAGAAAAAAGAAACAAACAAAGCCATAAAAGTAACTAGAACTACAACCAACCACATCCCAAGCTGTTTCATATTTGTGATTAAGCAACATTGAACAGGAGGTTGGATCGGAAGACTGCTGTTAGGCTTTTGGGGAAACCTTTCTTCTCCTGGATGAGCAAACCCAATTCCCTCTGTCTTTCCTCCAAAAGGAGCTTCCAGCCTCTGACTTTCCACCAGCCTCAATCAAATTCATTAACTTTTTATACTAGAGCATAAGTGACAAGTTATAGAATCACAGAATGGTTGGGTTAGAAGGAAACTTACAGATCACCAAGTTCCAACCCCCTGCCTTGGGCAGGGACACCTTCCACTACACTAGGTTTCTCAGAATTTCTCTATCCAACTGGCCTGGAACACTTTCAGGGATGGGACATCCACAACTTCTGTGGGCAACCTGTGCCAGGGCCTCACCAAGTGGCTGGTAATAAATAAAGCATACAAAGTCTTTCGCTCTGTAACAGATAAATCATGACACTAAACAAAATCAAGCACCCTTCCCCCAATTTCAGTTAGCATGAATTTGCTCTTAAATAAATGTAATTACAACAGAATCTCTACGTATCATGAAATATATTTTATCTAAGAATTAATTTTATGTCAAATACAAATCAAAACTGCCTATTTGCAAGGACAAATTAAAATATTTTCCTGTGTATGGAGCCTACACTACAGACCAAAAATGCATAAAAGAAAACTCCGTGTCCATTTCCAAACTCTTCTCACTGATCTTGCAGTTTGGTCCTAAAAAAACGTAATCAGGTGTTCGTTCTCACTGAATGTTAACAATGCTATTATTTTTTTGCAACAGAACCTTGTCTCAACATGTTTCTGCATCATGAATGATTTACCTGAAAACAAAACTGAAAATTAAAGGTATACTATGATGATACACACTTTTTGCAAAAAAAAAAATAAAACCCTTAAAGAATTCACTCAGATTCTTACTTCGATCACACTCTTCAATTGCTCGGGCAGCTTGCGATGGCTTCAGGTACCTGACATAGCCCAAACCTTTACTTTCTCCAGTAGTCTTGTTTTTAATAATGCTGCAATATTCAATGTCTCCATACATCTAGAACAATTAAAAAACTTATGAATTTCATATATTTTAAAACCATGAAATTTCCATGTGCTAACCCCTTCTAGTTAATTTAGAAAAAGGCATTTTAAAAAAACAATGAACAGCAAATCAGAACCTTAAACTTCTCTCGCAGATCCTCCTCCGTGTAGGTTTTTGGTATCATAACAAAGATTCGTGTAAGCTCCTCATCTTCAACATCTCGGTGGCTTCCAGAAGCTCTTGACTGTGCAATAAACACCTAACAAAATAATTACATAGACACTAATTACTGGCACTAGACACTTATCAACAAGCAAGTGAAATAGTTTAACCGTCTTTGTATTTATGGTTCACATAAGCTGCCCTCCTTAGCATGGAGAGAAAGGAACATCTGTGATAAAAGTCCTACAAATATAAATCCTGCCTGTACTGTCCTGTAAGACCTACAGTGATAAATTTCAAACAGTTTCCCAAACTGGACAGGGGCCAGAGAAGTTACTTACTGGGGATAATGAGGAATGGTGAGAAATACCACTGCTGATTCAGCAACACTGTCAACATCACCAGTGACAGGTGAGGTGGCAAAGAATGCATTGCTCTAACAGGCCTTGTACAGCAGTAGTAGAAACAAATAAGCAACCAAGAAAGCCTAGCAGATTAAGAAAACCGTGCTACTGCAGTTCACTGCTCAGCTGGGCCAAAGTTTACGGATCTAGTGCTCTATGAAGGATCATAACTTCTCATATCTGTTACTCTTAAAGTCTTTTTTAGTTATCGAAATAAATTTCACCTCAGAAGTGCATACCAGAAGACAACCAAGAAAAAAAGCCCAAATACATCACAAACAAAAAAAACTAAACAAAACAGAAACAACCAAGTAAGAAAGACACAACTTTCAAAGCAAGCCTCTTAAGCAAAAGTAGCAACTGGTTTCACAGAGCTCTTAACTTATTTTTCTAACAGCCATGCAAGGGTGTGAGGACTACAACTCAGATCTTTTGGCTTCTGATGGCAAGTTCTTCAGAAAAATTTTGCTGACTCAGTTGTACTGTCAAGTGAAACACATGGCATCTTCTTTCACTCATCGAATTCACTCATACTTTCTTAGTACTTGGTGAATAGGAAAACAAATCGTGAAGCTGAAAGCTGACAGAACAATTCCATAGATTAAAATAAAAATTTTTAAAAAAGTTTTGAAAAGGGTTCACAAGCTACAAAACCAATATAAAACATACTGGCAAAGCCAGTTCTATATATTCACAACTATCTTGCTTACAACACCGAAAACACATAAAACATATAAGAACTAAAACACACAAAAGAATCTTTGTCGCAAACACCCCCTCGCTTCCGGCATTTTCCGCAGGCCTGCTGCGGCTCACGCCACGCGTGGGATCTCGGGGAGCGGACGGG